ATTGTTAACAATATTCTTAACATGTCTTGCAGTAATGTTGATAATGATTTCAACTCTGTTAATGATTTATACTTATATTTGTATGATGCTGCCAAAATCACAAATCATTTATGTTTTTATTCCTTCTTAATAAAAGGTGTCAGAGTTATATATGTATTTTGTAAATAAATCTATTTCAGTATTACTTACATGGCTTATTTCATTAATGAAATATGAGAAAAAGAATAGATAATTTAATGATTTTCCATGATTTTAAGATTGTTGACTATTCCCAATAAGAAGGTCAAGTTATTAAAACTTATTTGGAATAAATATAATGTTGACTTTTGTACCAAAAAGTGCATGGACATGAACTTTGAGTGATTCTCGAATCTTATGGCACATAAAAACAACTTGAAGAACTTGCTAAATTGCAGATGACCAACTCACAGCACTAAGAAATTCTGCTTAGAGATTCAGCATATGGCTCTAGAATCCTCACATTAAAAATCACCCCAGATAAATTAATTTTTTAATCCTCACCTTAGGATATGTTTTTATTGATTTTTAAAAATATACATTTTATTGATTTTTTACAGAGAGGAAGGGAGAGGATAGAGAGTTAAAAACATCGATGAGAGAGAAACATCGATCAGCTGCCTCCTGCACACTCCCTACTGGGGATGTGCTCGCAACCAAGGTACATGCCCTTGACTGGAATCGAACTTGGGACCCTTGAGTCCACAGGCTGACGCTCTCCACTGAGCCAAACCGGTTAGGGCTTTATTGATTTTTTTAATCCTCACCTGTGGAGTGAGGATGTTTTTTCCATTGATTTTTAGGGAGAGTAGAAGGGAGAGGGGAGGGGGGAAAGGGAGAGAGAGGCAATGCGAGAGGAGAGAGAGAGGGAGGGAGAGAGAGAGAAAGAGAGAGAGAGAGAGAGAGAGAGAGAGAGAGAGAGAGAGAGAGAAACGTCTATCACTTGCCTCCCCCTCCCCTGCCCCCCAGAACCAGGGATCAAACTAGCAACTCAGGTATGTGTCCTGAATAGAACCCATAACCCTTTGTTATATGAGGCAATGCTTCAACCAACTGAGCCACCCACCAGCGCACCCCAGATGATTTTGATGTGGGTTTCTCAGTGCAGAGGCTAGTCTGACGGGGACATGGGACAAGGGCAAGGTGCTGGTGATGCAGGACCCTATCTACAATAAAGGTCCCAATAAAAGACTTTGAAGGGAAGAGCAGGAAGAGTCTCAGAAAGGGACCCCTATTGCTCACTGTTGCTCATTGTCTCCCATTAGCACTTAATTAATTAATTGTGGAGATGGTCCTAATTGCTAGATGAGGAGGGTACTTGCTGGTGCATTTTCTTCAAGAGTTGGATTGGCTGTCCAGACAAATGCCTGTGCTTACACTCAAACACTGTTTTAAAAAAAGTATATATATATATAATTTGTTTTGTCCATCAATGAAGCCTTTCTAGGTCCCAGAATTGATTCTCTAGCTTGATCATATCTATCAATCTATAAAAGCACACACACATTTTTTAAAAGAGCCGCTTTAGGTTCAGCAAAGCTGAAGAGAAAGTACATAGAATTTCCATATGCTCCCTGCCCCCACACACGCACAGCTTCCCCTGTCATCAACATCCTGTGCCAGAGTGGTACATTTGTTACAATCAGTGAGTCCACAGTTTACATTAAGATGTACTCTTGCTGTATTCTTTTTTTTTTTCTTTATTGTTGAAAGGATTACATAGGTGCTCCTTTTCCCCCCATTAACCTCTTCCAGCCTGCTAGGTTTTGACAAATGTATGGCAACATGTATCCTTTATTATAATAATGTACAGAAAGTTTCACTCCCCTAAAAATCTTCTGTTCCATCTATTATTCATCCTTCCCTCATCTCAAACACCTGGCAAATACGGATCCCTTTCCTGTCTCCATGGTTTTGCCTTTTCCAGAATGTCATATAGTTGGAAGATCATACTGTATGTAGTCTTTTAAAATTCTTTTTAGCACTGAATAGTATTCCATTGTCTGGGTGTGCCCAAGTTTTCATTTCCTTGATTGTTTTCTAATGTCGACAATTGTGAAGAAGCTGCTATAATCATATGTGCGCAGTTTTTTCTGTACAGACATCAGTTTCAACTCAAGCAAGTACCAAGGAAGGTGATTGTTGGATCATAGGATGACAATATGCTTAGATTTGTAAGAAACTGTCAAACTCCCTTCCAAAGTGCTGCACCGTGTTATTTCCCATCAGCAGTAAATGAGGGTTCCTGCGGCTCCACAGCCTCACCAGCAACTGATGGTGTCAGTGTTCGGATTCTGTCCATTCTGATATGTGTACTGGTTTCCTGCTGTCTTAATTGCAATTTCCTAATGATATATGATGTTGACATCTTTTCATATGTTTACTGGTCATCTGTGTATCTTCTTAGCGAGGTATCTGTTAAGTACTTTGGCCTATTTTTTAATCCAGTTGTTTTCATGTCGTTGAATTTTAAGATTTCTTTGTCTAATTTGGATAGCAATCTTTTATCAAATATGTCTTTTGCAAATATTTTCGCCCAGTCTATGGCTTGTCTTCTCATTTTGCTAATGGTCGTATCATTTATAGCACTTATTTGTTATTGTGTTTGCTGCCACACTAGACTGGGGCTTCTCATGGGCAAGAATTATGTCACATTGCTCTTTAGCTTCTTAGTTTGGTGCTTGGCACATGGTAGAATGAAATAATGTTTAAGGAATGGATGATTGTGTGTGTGAAGTGAGTCATCTGCTACCTTGCTACTCAAAGGATGGCCTTCAAATCAGTAGCATGGTTCTCCCCTGGCAGTTCTTAGAAATGTAGAATCTCCGGCTTTCCTTACTTCATAGGAATCTGCATTTTCACAAGATCCCCTAAGTGATTTGAAAGCTGTGATCCGCTTAGCCTTTATGAACCCACATTGCCCCACAGTAGTTAATTGTGGTAGAAGCTAGTCACTCGTTTGGAAAGTTCTATTTTATGCAGCAAC